GATACATGGGGTCCCCCCCAAGGCCCCCCCCCCCCCCAATGAGATTTTGAACTAAGCTGCAAGCTACCCATCAACAGGTACTTATGTTGACGGAGAAGGGTAGGTTCTGGGGGCTGTAATGGTGGTTATGTTATAACTGTAGCATGTAGCACTGATGGCACAGGTATCACTGATAAAACAAGGTAGTACTGGTAGCAAGAAAGTACTGGTAGCACTGGTAGAGAGGCAGCACTGGAAGCTAGGTTCACTGGTAGCAAGGGTTCACTGATACAAGGTTGCCCTGGTGGCAAGATACAACATGGGAGCTAAGGTAGCATAAACCTAATGCTCAAATGGTGACAGTACCCAAGTTTAAATAGGAATTAAAGTCATGTGACACATCACAGCTGTGACAGTTCGGGTAAAACCCAGAAAGCAATGAAGCGTGGTAGGTAACAGTGACAGCCCATATATATTAAATGACAGCCTTCTGATCTAATGACTATCTGACATTCCTCCTAATGACTCTAAATGACTGCTTCTGCTTAGAAAATCTTGCCCTATTACTTTTTTTTTCCTGTGATAAGACCGTGCCGACACAGTTTGCATGCATCTTCTCCATTGCCTAAGCAGGAATGCCCATTTGACCAGAGCTGAGTCTGGCCTGGAAAACATTGTGGGATGTTTACATAATGCATGTTTGTCAGACCATTCGCTAATATTTAAGGCCGGTGTGAGGGTAATGGTGATTGATATTTTCTCCATTTTACTAAACATTAGGATATAAAAAAAACAGTCTGTAATGTGACCACCTGCACTACATAATTATTAAGCAGCCTCAAAATACAAAGGTTTCTGAAGGTGTCTTGTTCTGACGTTCTAGTATATATTAACACATCAAAGCATGGCATGTAAATACTTAACCTACTTCAAAGCGACCTAAGGAGGAGACCTTTCTGTTGGTGCCCCAAGTGTTGCTTGAACCAGATCTTGTTCTGCATATTCAAGAACCTGATAAATGTTGCTATTCAGCTTATTCATTCTGACTTCTCACAACTTAATAATCCTTTGATCTTGTTTTCCAATGCAGGAGTCCCCTCTGTGTCTGTAATTACTTAATTCCTTCACTGTGTTAGTGTTCTTCACCTCCGCTGCAGGGCTTTCCCAAGCATGTAAACTTTCACAAATTGAACAAGAACTTTCTCCAACCACATACTGTGCTCAGAAATTTCCCACACACTGTTCATCGTAAATAATGTGATGGTCACTTGCACTGGAAAATGCCGCACTTAAAGCGAACAATGGCTGGGGCTTACTAATGTCCAAAATG